TCAGCAGCTTCCCCGGAGGCCAGGGAAGAGACGGTTCTTCAGAGTCTCAAGTCCTGAGAACCAGGGGGCCAACAGCGCACCCCAGAGCAGAAGGTGAAAGATGTCCCAGATCAAGGGGTGAGTCTGGGAAAAGAGGCCAAGTCCTCCTTCCCCAGCCTCCAGGTTCAACTCAAGCCCTCCATGATGCACCCCAAAATTACAATCTCGACTGAATCCATCCACTCCAATGTATGATCTCATCCAGAAACACCCTCAGACAGACCCAGAAAGAATGTTTAATTTGGGAACCTCATGGCCAGTCAAGATGACGTGTACAACTAGCCATCGTAACACCTAGCGTTGGCAAGACTGTGGAAACACTCGGTGAGGGTGTGAAATGGTACCACCATCGTGGAAAACAGGTTCAGATTGAAACTGACCAGATTATGCTATGTACATATGTGAACATACCACAATAAATGTCACTGCTATGTGTATCTATAAAGCACCAATTGAAAAAAAACATAAACAGAAGACCAGGAGAATAGCACAAGAGGAACACCGGGAGGGAGAAGAAGAGAGAAAGAGGCAAGACCAGGGATTGAAATGGAGCAAATTATATTCCCTGTAGGTGTGATTACATCAAAATGAACCCCACTACTCTGTATAACTATAATGCACTGATAAAAATATTTTTTAAAGAAAAATGCATCCCAGAGAAAGGAAGACAACATTCATACAGAAGCCTATACATGAATGTTTATAGCAGCTTTATTCAAAATATCCAAAGACAAACAACACAGGTGTCCTTCAATCAGCTCATGGTTAAACTAACTGTGGTGCATCCACAAAATGAAATATTACCCACCAACGAAGGGGAACACACTATTGGTGCAGCAGCAACGCCTGAAAACTGCTGGCCAGAGGAGGTCAGCTGTTCTATGGCCCACGTACAGAACACTCTTGAGATGACTCAATTAGAGAAATGGAAAATAACCCGTGGCTGCCAGGAACTAAGAGTGGTGGGGCAGCAGTGACACAGGGCTGGCTGGACAACACAACAGGGGGATCCTGGGGGTGACGGGTGTGTTCGAACCTTCACCATATCAATGTCCACATCCCAGTGGTCACATTTTATAAACTGTAATAATTGTAAGATGTTAACCATGGTGAGAAGCAGGGCAAAGTGTGCGTGAGAGCTCTGTATTATTTTGTACAACTACAAACGAACCTAGGAGCATTCAAAATAAAATATTTAACTTCCAAAAAGCAGAAAGGGATGAATGCTTTCAGCAAAAGATTTGCTAGATCCATGCATAAAAATATTAAAGAAGAGCTAAGTATGTATAGAGAGATACCTATCCAGAAGAGTACAGGCCAGGAGTAGCCAAGAAACTTCTAGAAAAGGAAAGAAAAGACAGGTAGAAAGGAGACAAAGGAAGGAAAAGGGGATATGACCTTAACCTGAGCGCCTGCACTGAAGATCCGCGTGCCTGTCCCCAAGTGTGTCGCTCCTGGATTTCTGGGAAATCTACGAATCCTCACTCACAATCTTAAAGCTACCAGAAATTCACTCAGTTATAAAAACTTCCCTGAGCAATGTATCAACACATGTATTTTTGGAGTAGATTAAACAAAGGGAGAGATGATATTTTAGGAAACCTCTACAATCTGGTACATTCCAAATGTTCTCTGTTGATCACATGATGAGGAAGGTTCTGGAAACAGTGATCGCCACACTGAGGTCACCACCCCCAGGCCTTCTCATGGCCAAACCTCACAGCTTCCTTTCAAAGAAGAGCTCAAGACCCCCAATGCCTCTCACTCCCTGCATTCTCCCTTTCCTGAGCAAGCCTCTGTTGTCCTTCTATCTCACACGTCTTAACATTCTTTTCTGCCAGCCACATGCTGTGGCACACACCTGTACTCCCAGCGGGAGGCTGAGGCAGGAGGATCTGTGAGTTCAAAGCCAGCCTTAGCAACTTAGCGAGGCCCTAAGCAACTTAGTGAGACCCAGTCTCTAAATAAAATAGAAATAGAGCTGGGGATGGGGCTCAGTGGTTAAGTACTCCTGGGTTCAATCCCTGGTACCAAAAAATGAAAATAAAGTAAAATAATTTTCTGCCACATTTGTCAAGGACCCTGTCATCCCAAGTTGAGGGCCCCCTCTCCAGGACCTCTTGGACCCCCTCCAGTGACACTATCCTATTTCACCCAGTATGAAGCTGTGGTGACTAAGTCGAAATAGCATTAGTGTTGGGCTAGATGAACAACCCACGGAGCAGACCAGCAGAACCAGACCCGTCCTAAAAGGACTCCTCACAAACACCGCTGCAGATCAACAGGTAGGGCCAGTGCTGACCACCAAGGCACTGGAAATTGATTATTAATAGAGGGAAACTGGAATTGCTTCCTCACCCAATGCTAAGTTGTAAAATAGCTGAAACTTGTAAAGAAAGAAATATTTTAATTTTTCCTACAAAGCTCTGGGATAGCATCTCTATGGTTTCAAGTTGGGAAAAGTTTATTTTTGATATGGGGTCTCTCTACATCTTCTAGGCTGGTCTGGAACTCCTGAACTCCAGCAAACCTCCCAGATCAGCCTCCGGGTGCTGGGACTAGAGGCAGGCACAACTATGACTGAAAAGATTTCTTAAACAAAGGCTAACTGTGATGAATTTTGACTAAACAAAAACTAAAAACTTGTCTATCAAAATATGCAACAAAGGGAATGAAAATAAATGTAAACATTGAAAGAAGCTATTTATAACACCAATAGCCAGCAAGATTAGTATCTAAAATACAGAGATACTTTTAAGAGTCAATAAAAAAACTCAACAACTGAATTATTAAAAAGTACACAAGAGACCTTATGAAAGGCATTTCTTATGAAAGGAAGTGAGGCTGGGCAAGAGATGTACAAAAGATGATTAATGCCATTGGTAATCAGAGCAAAGAGGATTTAATCCACATGAAACACTACTTCATCTTAGCACACTGGCAGAAATTAAAGATCCAAGAATGCAAATTGTTGGTGAAAATGTGCAGCAATGAGGACCCACATGTGCTACAGTTAGGACAGTAAAATAGGTAATTTCTTGGAAATCAGAAACTGGAAATAATGAACATCATTTAGCAAAGAGGCAGATGAGCTGAACACATGTCTCCACAGTTTCATTTCCAGCATATTCTCTGAGTGCATCCAGATGCAAGTTCAAGAGGTCACAGAACTATGGCTTGCTCTAGCAGAAAATCTGAAGATGAGGTAAATACTGATCAAAGGGGCCAGTGATAAACTGATATAGACCATCAGCCACACAGACACTGGGGATTGAAAAGGGGGCCGGGGGTCAGGCAAGGATCCATCAAAGGGCATTTTCACTTTTTTATAAAGTTTTAAAGCAGGTAAACTATAAAGAAAATCAAGAGGATGATTAAGATGAAAATTTAGGACAGAGAAGACCCTTGGGGAGGGGGCAGGTAAGAAACACATTTGGAAAGATACCAGGGTTTAAAGGCTACTGCTGGCCCTTCTGCTCACTAAACTGTGAGGGGCGTTATTATTTTTAAGCTGTACAGCTACAGCATGCATGGCCTTTTTATTTATGAGACTTCACAACTGAAGTACAGAACTTGTTGACAGCCAGCAGGGAAGGTCCTGATCATGCTGCTCAGCTGTCACTCCAGGGAGGATCTGACCGTCCAGCAGGTGGCTGCTGGTATGGACCGTGTGGGCACTGGGTGAGACTGGCAAAGTGACTGGTTATGCCTGGCTGAGAGGGAGGCACAAAATTGGTGAGGTTAGGGAAGGGAGGAGGAGCCTGGATGGAAGTTGCAGAGAGCCCCAAAGTAAGGAAGAGTCCAGCGCAATGCGAAAGGAGTGCGGTGGGAAGAGAGAGGAAAGAGGAAGAGGCAAAGAGAGAGAGAAGGAAGGGGAGGGAGAGAAGGAGAAAGAACAGAGGAAAAGGCAGGAGAGGGAAGAAACTGTCTGCAAAGGTTATCCTTCTTGAAAGCCAGCCATCAGTAAGAACCTGGTCCCACCTCTAGGGTCCCTGCTGGCCTCCTACCTGAGGAACCCGGGGTAGGGGGAATCTCTCTTGAGTTACAGTGCCCTTGACAATGTCTGAGAGTCCCTTGGTTGCCCGGCTTACAGGTGGCTCCAATAAGGAACCAGGTGATACTCACTGAGACTGGTTGCCTCCTAGTGAGCCCTTGGAAAAGGACAAATCTTCCACCCACCACCGAGTCTGGGATGTGGGCACATGTGATGAGCCAGCAACAGGCCTCTTTGGGCATCTCCACCCTCCCCTCATTTCAGCCACATCTGCATGGTTTGGGAGACTTGTCTGAGCTCGGAGAAGGGCTTAGCCCAGCTATGGAGTGCCAGTGGTGCAAGTTGTGCACTGTGTGATCCAGTCACAGCCGCTTGCCTTATGTGACACGGGTCATGTTGGAGCTCACCCAGTGGAGCTGCGTACATCTCATCGGAAACCCAGGCTCAAAGAGACCCTAACTTACCCCGTACAACAGAGGAAAGCTAGATGTAAAACTTTGTTCTGCCTGCGCCTAGGCACACACCGGAGTCTGGGTACAGGATTGGCACACAAAGCCCAGTCACTCTAATTCTGCTCGGCGTGGTGATCCAGGTCCTCAGGCTTCGGATCAGCTCACCAGTCCTCAGAAAGCACATCCAGGTTCACTGGAGGGCTGGGGACAATTGCACGGGACCGGAGGTGTTGGGTTTGGGTTGGTCGCTGGTCCTTGCACTAATGAGTGGCCTCAACTCAGGCCTCAGTTTCTCCATCCGGCCCTCGCAGGTTGATGACTGCGAGCGCTCGAGGGTCCGCCAGGCCCTGCCCCAGAGGGTGGGGCTGGAAGTGGTCACGTGGAGGGTGCCGGACGGAGTCCCGCCCCGCCCCGCCCCGCCCCGCCCCCCGCCAGCTCTAGGGGCCCCGCCCCCTCGCCGTCTGGAGCGAGGGAACCCAGAGCCAGCTGAGGGCGCAGGGCTGGTCGCCACGCGTCGCCACGCCGGGACTGCTGAGGGGCGCGCGGCCGCCGCGGGGATCTGGGGGCGCCTGCTCGCTGCTCCGCCCGCTCCCGGCCCGCTGTGCAGGCGGCTGGATCTGCTACAGCAGCGGCGACAGCGAACACTCCAGCGCAGGTGGCAGTATCAGCTACGGCAGCAGGAGCAGTGACACCATGGATCTGTCTTTTATGGCCGCGCAGGTAACGGGGCACCTTCCCCATGCGCCCTGGGTCGCCAAGTTTGAGGAGGTGCAGAGCCACAACCTCGCCCTCCTCGCCGGAGCTGAGCTCAGCCGGAGCGGTCGGGCGGGGCGGTGGCGCCCGTGTAGGATCCAGGTCCTGGTCCTTTGTCCCGAGGCGAGCCGGGCAGCACCACCTGGTGCTCGCGCCAGGGGGCTCCAGCGGGGCTTTCCCGGGGTGGGGTGGGCGGTGCACCTTGCCCCCCTAGGGTGGGGCTCTTCCCACTCCGGCCCCTAGAGGAGGCAAGAAAGCTTCTAGGAACCCGAGCAGCCGAGTCGTCCCCTCCCTGCCCAGCCCCCACCCGGGCCTGCAGGGGATGGCGAAGCTCAGACCCGCGGGAAGCTGGTGGGTGGACAACCGCGCACTTCCCAGCTCTGTTTTTTTGCGAGGCGCAGCAGCTGGGTAATCTGCCACTTGCAGGTGACCTCGGGCGCCTTCCTTCTCTCCACTGTGAGCGGGGACCATAGCCCCTGCCGCCTGGAGGAAGGCAGTGAGACTTTGTGACCTGGCAAGCTTCGAAGCCCAGCGGCCAGTTTACCCATTTTTGCTTTGTGAGTCTGATTAGCCCTCAGTGCAGTGCGCGATCATAACTCTTCCCTCCACACAAACAGGCTCCTCATGGCAGGGAAGACTAATGACCTGTTCCCGCGCCGGCTGATCTGGGCTCCTGGAGAACCCTTTGAGTTCTGAGCCTGGGTGCTCATTATATTTCTGTGCCTTAACTCTCTTGAGCCAGAACAAAGAGAAACCCCTGATTCTGTAGCTGCGCGTGGCCCTGGGGAAGCACATAAACTTCCACCTTACTGCTTCACCACCATGCTGACTGCTCTGCATCCAGGGCAGGGCCCCATTTGTCTGGGGAAAATGAACCCCAGTCCAGCCCTCAGACCTTGCATGTTCCAGGATTGTGCTGGCTGGCTGCGTTGAGAGCAGGGCAGGTAGGCCACCCAGGCTCCCCTCAGTCTCTTGGGTGTGTAGCAGGGACCTTGCCTGCTGATGCTTTCTTTCACCAGGTGGAAGTTTGAGGGCACACTTTGTTTTCCCCAAACTTCACCTGTGCTGAAAGTCTGCTTAAAATATCACAGCAAAATCCAGATTGTGGAGGGTGATCCCCAATCCAAGGCATCCAGAGGACACAGTCCACAGGTCGGCTCCGGGGAATCCAGAGCCCAGCTTTTACCAGCCTCTTAACAAGTTTTGCATGATGCTAATTGCTTTTATGGGCATTGCTGGCCCTTTTTTGCCTGATTTTCTATTTCCTGTTCCTAAATCTGTGCTTGTAGATATTGCCATTTAGCAAACAGTCATCACTGTTGTAGATAGAGGTGGCTTTAGCTGCCGGAGGGGGTTTTCCAGGATTCATTTCGAGGAGGGAGAAGAGCTCACACAAGTCTGTGGCTGCCTTCCCCTCTGGATCCCTGGGAACCTTGGTGTTTCCATGGTTACAAGATAAATTGATCATTGCTAACCCAGGGGCTGGCTGGAGCATCAACAGTTGCTATGGTGACTTGACAAAATAAACATAGGCTTTTCAGCACCTATGGGCAGAACCTATAGAGGTTGGGTTTTTTTCCTTTTTTAGGTTTTCTTGTGTGTGTGTGTGTGTGTGTGTGTGTGTGTGTGTATGTAATTCCCATTTCACTTGGTCGATTTATTTCTGCTGATATGTTTCACGTTGATTACTAACTCCGTTCTCTGCTAGCTGCAAGGACTAGGAACATACATTTTCATACCAATGGAAGGCGTGTTAAAAGGTTTGCTGAGCACCTACTGTGTGCCCGATGCCAGGCATTTGGCATGTAGTATTACAATAAACCCTGACAAGTTTGGGATGTAGGCCCTGTTTTTGCAGATCAGGTTACCAAACTTTATTTATAAGTTTATGATGAGATTAAATAATTTACCCAAGGACACATTGTTATAAGGAAGAGAATGGAGCTTCCAGTCTGGGCTTGAGAATCTGCAAGGCTGCTGGGTGTTCCACCTTACTGCTTCACCCTGAGAAAGGCTCAATGAAGGGAACAGACAGACACTGCAAGATAGCTGGCCTCTTCTTCTCCCAGGAGGTGGTCTCCCGCGGTGCTTTTCCCAGAGCCCGTATGGGGCTGTGCTCCAGGACTGCTTCCTGTCGTGGGTCTTTCTATTGTCTCCCTCGGGATGGGAGCTGTTTCTGCTTTATGTGCGGCACTTGGGCTTGGCTGGAGTGAGTGTCCCTACCTGCCCTAGTGTGTACAGTGGCCACTGGGAATGGCTGTGTCCGTCCCCGCACGGCCTGCCCTACGACATGGGCAGCCCACAGGGAGACACCAGTGCTTCTTTTACATTCTTCAGTGAAAGAAACTCCATACCAGGCACCGGGACAGGGGTGCGGGGGACAGTTGAATGGCATGTGGCTTTCCTTTCTGGGTGCTTATAGACTATCGGACAAACGATGGGTCAGGCCAAGACCTAGCCAAGGGAACGGGTCGAGTGCTAGGCTGAGCAGCGTGGCTAACACATAGTAGGCCCTCAGCAAGTATTTCTGAGGTGATTGGATGAGAACAAGATGTGTATTCGTGAAGAGAGACGGGAAAAGATGGTGAACGAGAGATGTCAAATGTGAGCACCTGACATCTTCAGGACTTGGAGAATAGATCTTAGAAGGATTAGATCTCTGGGCAGGTCTGGACCTGGGAGTAAAGGCATCCGGGAGGAGACTTGAGGAGAGGGGAGCCCAGGAGATATTCAGAGTCCTCCAAAAAGAGAGGGGGAAGGAGATACAGTGGGCTGGGAGAGAGGGGCCAGGGCAAGTCAGAGGTCCTGACTGGGGGAATGAAGAGTTGACTCTCATCAGTCTGCGGTGGGAGCCATTGTGGGTTGTGGACAGGGAAGTGGCATGTCCTGGGATAGTGCCCTGGGAAAACCTCTGTCCCATGGCGGCCGGAAGCTGGAGGACTGGGCAGGCTCAAGACTGCATGCTGTCCCCATTACCAACGAAGTGGATGAAACCATACCCTCGTGAGCCCAAGCCCAAGCTTCCTCTCCTTGCATATTTAGTAAATACGATTCCTGTTTGTGCTTCAGGAAAACCCAGAGCACATAAACTTCTTGAGGAGGAGTCCCTGTCCAAGCTGAGCCTTCGAGAGACTTCTTTTTAGATGTCTTGAGTGGACATCAGTTACCTTCAAATCCTTCTGCATAGTGCCCTCCTGACATGGGGCTGTGCAAGGGCTGAGGAGAGCCTGCAGGTCCTGAGGGACCACATCTCAAGCCTGGAGACACTCGGCTGCTTTTCCTGCCACCCTGAAACACCCCAGGGACAAGGAGTATGTCCTTGGGGTGGAGTGAGCAGGCCTGTGGCATAGTGCTCAAACTTAGTCCCCTCTAGTGACTAGTCTCAACCCAGTAGCTCTCAAACATTGCTGCAGTTAGAATCACCTGGGGGCTTTCAGGGGTCTCTGACCCTACCCCAGGCCCCACCCCATGCTCCATGGCAATCTAGGTGAGTCTTAGGGGTTGGGAGTTGGTACTTCCACAGTTTGGTCAAGACTGAGATCTGGAGTGTAAACCTATTCAGTAGGGCTCCCCCACTCCCTCCCCAGGTAGAACAGGTCCTTGGCTCTCCAATAAAAGGTCATGTGGTCACCGAAAGCCACCAAACACAATATTGACTCAGCAATTGAAACTATTTAGGCCCAGAATAATATAACCTGTAAAATTGGTCCACAATCCAGCAATTGCTCTCCCTCCCTCCAGACCACGCCTGGCACAGGAGGGAGCTGAGGTTGCACTGAGAGGAAGTGGGAAGCCAGGGTGACCCTGCCACAATCTCAGGACATCCTGACCTGTAGTCCCACCTTGTAGAGCAGACCAAGAACTGGGCAGACCGGGGGCCCTCCACGGACCAGCTCCCTGTGGTTTCCTAGGGAGCTGCAGAAAAATAGGTGACTTAACTCGAGGCCACAAGTCCACAATCAAGGTGTCCTCTGGGCCATCGTCCCTGTGAAGGCCCTGGGAGAGAATCCGTCCCCTGCCTCTGTCTAGCATAGTGGTGTCACCTGCGATCCTTGGCTCCTTGGCCTGAGGACCCGTTGCTCCAGTGTCTGCCTCCAGTGCCACATGCTGTTCTCTCTGAGTGTGTCTGTCTTCTTAGGGACAATGATCTTATTGGCTAAGGGCCCATCTTGACTACTTCTGCAGAGACTGTTTCCAAATACAGTCACATTCAAAGGTACTGGGGTTAAGCTTCAATATATCTTTTGAGGGGACATAATCAACCCATAACAGCATCTGAAGACCCAGAAAGGACAAGAATCTTGCCTCCTGCATCATTGGCTGCTGGTCTTAGAGAGGCAGTGAACCAGTCACTCCCCTAACCCTCCATTTCATCCTCTGTGAAATAGGGACAAAATGCCATTCATTTAGTCACCTACATGGAGTGTTGGGTGGCGGGTGTGACCCAGGCCCTGCCAAATGGCACCCAGCAGGTAGACCCGGTGGACACGCCTAACCCAGCACAGGAGTTGGGAAGGCATGAGGTTGACCTGAGCTGGGTACACACAGGATCAAGGACATTGCAGGCAGAGGGGACCGCGTGCACAGAGACAGAGGGGCTTGAGCCATGTGTCCTGTTGAATGGGATCACAAGGAACCATTTGACAAAAGAAGAGGGTGCAGATGGTGAGGGAGGGAGGGAGAGGGAGCAAATGAACTTGATGCCAGCCCAGTGACCTCATGGAGTGGGGCAGGATGGGTAGCGGCTGTGGGTGCCCAGGAGAGAGGGTCCTGGCCTCCGGGGGCGGGGGGTGGGCTCCGGCTTGCTCTTTGTGCTGTGGACACACAGCCCTAGGCAGGCCTGCAGTGCTTCTGGGCTTTGGGGAAAGCTGAAATCATGATGATCACGTGCAGGCTGGGTTTTTTGTTTTTTTTTTTTTTGGCATCTAATTAGAAATTTTTAACCAACCAACCTGGTTGAGGGCTGC